CTTTGTTAGATAAAAATTGATATAAACATTTGAATGATAGATAGACGAGCAGGCGGCCAACATATTCCCACCTTCATATCCTTTAGATACACAACAAACAATAGATTGAATATATATATATATTTAATATTTATAGCAGTTGTACATACTCGTGAATTGATACGCGAGCTTATCAAAACAATCTTGTTCCCCGAAGAAGTTTGGCGAGTTGCCACACGAAATATCGGAAATAAAAACTTTATGATCCAAAATAGGCATTTTTAAATATATATTTATAAATATTTTATGCGTATGATATTCAAAAGGTTGCTCTGTATATTTTGTTCAATATCTATTTAAGTATATTTAAAATTACTATTATCTTGAAATTAATCTTGTATATTTTGTGTGGTGTTATTGTTTGAGCATACTTCGAGTCGTTTTAGTTATTTATATTTTTAAATTTAATTCCAAATTTTGTTGCTTAATTTTTTTAAAACGAAATCATGTCCCTTGTGAGCCAAAAACAGATATTTATTCGATATTTGTCTTGAAGTGAACTTAGCATCTTAGATCAAGATAACTCGGCCTGCATCTTTGCCGAATAGGCACAGTGAACATACAAAATTCTTAAAATAAGCAACTTAGTACTCTTTCCTATCATAAAAATTTCTACACGTAGTTTATAGGGTGAATTAAACCTTTGCAGTGTCATTCTTCTATAATAGGTTTCGTTTGTAATCGAGCTCTTGTTCTAACCTGCAAACGATTGAGTTAAAAAGAACGTAGTGGAATGAGATCTAGGAACTATATCCAACAGATCAAATATCATGTATTCCTAAACATAAATACTTAGGGCTCACCTCTCCCAATCACACTATTAGTTTAATTCACTTCTCGTTAAAACGTATGTTTGAAAGTCCCTTCCCCCTCCAACGATTATTTTTTCTAGCATTCTAAAAGAAAGCTTTGGTTTCTTTTAATACTCCTTAATGACAAAGGTATTATCAGAATTGTTTAACTAAACTTTAGAGATCTCTGTTTCCTTCTACAGAGGTAATAGCAAATAATTGGCTATTGGCTGCTTCGAACTCCTTCTTTTCCAACAGTCATTAAGATAATTAGCGCAAATATTTATAGTTTTATAATGTGGAGATAACCTAGTAATTACATTACTATTTCAACATTCTTAAAGTGCGAAAACTTAAACTATTCATCAAAAATTATATAGAATATTTTAAATGTGTGAGATAAACAGATATTTTCTATTGAAATATAAAATATTGATGGGTTTCTGGCCCCTTGATGGGGAAATTTACCAGCGATTCTACTAGTTTGAATATAATTATTTGATAATCTTAGATAAACAAGCGAAAACGTGTAGAGAATTTAGCTCTGTTATTTCAGATTCTCCCAATATATTTTCATTGAAAGAATGGCAGTTGGGAAATTGATGAAATTGATTTTAAAAACACAAAATCTACATAAATGTTGTGCATTTCGAATGTACACATCGTTAGAAGTGCAAACAAAGAAGTTTGGCGAGGTAACCCCATCTTTTAACTGAGTTAGAGTATAAATACCTTATTTATTTTTCAAGATTTCGGGTTAATATGCATATATTGATAAAATGATATTTTTATTTATAAATAAACCTTCTTCCTTGATTTATAATATTATGAAATAAATGAAGCTTCCAGGGTTAAGTTTCTTGTGCAACTTTTTATTTTCAAGCTTTCGTACTTGTCAGTCCTTCAACAGTAGTGCACGTGCACGTATATATTTTCAAAAAGTTGTTTTTCTCACACAAACAATGTAATATATCTCTCTATATCATAAGTATTTAAAATATGCGAATAAAAATTTGTATACAAATATTATTTATTATTAATCTGTTAACGTGATACTCCTGTTAAAGGTCTGACATGTCCGAAAGTTTGAAAAGAAAAGGTTTACACAAGAAACTTAGCCCAGGAAGCTTTATTTATTTTATTATAAAATAATATTTATCACAATGTTTTTACTTTTAATAAAATATCTTTATCTATTATTAATATACACAATGAATGCAAATAAATTAAGAGGATCCCGGTAATAAATAGCGAACTCTCATAGATATTTCTTCAGCTTTTAACTCCAAACCGTAACATTGTATTTAAAGCTATATCAGAATATCTATATAGAGTATATATTTAGCATATACTAACCGTACTCTATATATATCCAGCGGTAATACGACGAAATGCTCAAGTGCTACACATAAAAACATTTATCAAAATTACGAATATATTCTCACAATGAGTATATTTTTTATTTAAAAAACACTAGCTTTCAAGCGTTAATCGCTCTTCAACGGGCTTACTATAATATCGACTTAATCCCACTAGAAATATTTACAAAATATAGTAAATATATTATAGTAAGCCCGTTGAAGAGCGATTAACGCTTGAAAGCTAGCGTTTTTTAAATAAAAAAGATACTCATTGTGAGAATATATTTGTAATTTTGATACTTTTTTCACAATTTTATCATGAATAGAGACATACAAACATTATTATTTAGATTATAAAAGAAGCTAAAGGCGTATTGAGCGTTTAAATGAAAGAGTCCACATTAACGCCTCAATAGCCTATAAGTTGTTGATGGTCAATAAAAAGATAAATGGCGAGATTTCTCGAGGGTTATTCGCTTATATAGAGTTGAGGGGTGGCAACGGAATATTTAAATGTTTCACATCCATTCTTCTTCATTCAGAAAAGAAATCTAACCTCCTTCTAAGAATACAAGGAATAAATATATACGTTAGCAACTTCTAGTAGCCAATGTGATAAGCTTTCAAGAAAATATTTTTGACCATGCACAATAAGAGGAAAACTATCAAAACAATCATTGAACTGAATTTACTTTTAGCTTATATTTTTATTTACTAAACAACTACATTTGTTGAAAGCAAGCGTCTCATTGGTATATTAGGAATATTCAATGTATCCTATAATAGATCGAATGGCATTAAAGTCCGATTCAAACTCACATGGGCCATACCATGAAAGAGAGTAATATCAATGAATATCTCGGATTAAATATCTTTTACATATAACACTACAGAAATACATATATTACATAATTACTCTTAGTTCAAACCGTTGCTAGATAAAGAGCGGGAGGATTCGAAAACCGGCTATTACGTCTTTTAGTATCTTAGTAGAATATTTTTGTTTCTTTTTAGATTTTTTTTGAAGGCAAATTGATATCCTTATCCTTAAATGTTAAGGATGGCAGTTGCCAATTATCGAGATAATAACAAATGAGTATATAATTGCTTTTATGTATATTTGCTCAAAATAGGTATAAAGGCGTACATATATTATTGGTTTTCTCCAATTATCTAGAGATATGGTGAAATCAAAAAAACATAAATATTCGAGACTACAATAAACGCGTATGATTCTTTTAAAAATTAAACAATATCTACTGCCCTTACTGCAATAGATAAATTTATGGGAGGTCCTGGCTCATCAATGGTGAACCCTCCCAGTGGTAGATTAAACTGGCGAAACCGCTGTGAATGTTTACCACTGACGAGCCAAGCACTCTTATTAATTTTTCCATTGCAGTAAGGGTAGTATAAATTGTTTAATTTTTAAAAGAATCATACGCGTTTATTAGTTTCGAATTTTCATAACAGATGGCGCGCTAATGCATCAAACATAAACATTAATTATTATATTTATTTTTACTTTTTCAAATAATATTTCTAGGTAACTATTGCTCACATTATTATTATTTTATTTATTATATATGATCAAGGCCAGGGGACCATCTTATCGACGAGCCACTAGGAGAGGCCATAGAAAGACTGCCGGAGAGCTGCAGGACATCAGGGGACCATAACGGCAAGGGCCACAGCACTGAGCAGGAGTCAAGATAGCATGTGTAAATATCTTTGTTTACTTTTACTGTTGTCATTTATTGAAGTTGTAAATAAAAATATGTAAATAGACTGACCATTCGCTACACTTTTGAGAGAAAAACCTGTAACATTTTTGAAAAATAAATTATTATATATTATATATTATTATTTTTTGAAAATATATAGAGCAATCCATAGATAAATCTTTAATTAAAAAGGCATATATTGGATCAAAAACTAATTTATTTTACCAATATTTCAGCTGGCCGAACGCCAACCTTTATCAAGGTGTTATAATATTTTAAAGCGTTTAATTATATTATTATATAATAAAAAGTTATAACACCTTGATAAAGGTTGGCGTTCAGCCAGCTGAAATATTGGTAAAATAAATTATTTTTTGATCCAATATATGCCTTTTTAATTAAGTATATTATTATATATATATATAAAAAAATAAAATATTAATTAAAAGAATCATCGTTTATTTGATGCTATTGCCTATAGATGGCGACAAAACCTAGAAATGTTTATTTACTTGATTGTGATATTTCTTTTCCATCTTTCCCTCCTTGATCCCCTTTACTTCCTTTATCAAGGATTGAATGTAGATGTGCTATTATTGGTCGAGAATACCTTTTCATTGATTTACCTTGGAGGGTTGTAAGGTGTACAGACGTAATAAAACTGTACAAGTATTACGTGTGTTTTTTTTTTTCAAGAAATATGTTTGATAACATTTTATAAAAAATAAAAAAGTTTTGTTTATTCATATATATGGCGTGGTGGCTAGAGCAATACTTCTCCTGGATCGTGGAGGCCGTGCGTGTGTAGCGTCCTTTGAGCGTTGAAAGGTCGCTAGGTGTAGGAAGGAAGCGTCATCCGTTGGAGCCTTTTAGGGCGGGTGTTCTGGCTCGCAGCGAGAGCGTGCCATTCCGCTGTCCATGTGGCTCTATTATAATACAATATAATGCGGCTTATGATTGTAGAACGACATTTGAAATTTATTCCGCATTTGTTTCTTTTGAACGAAAAATCGAAATTTATTTTAAAAAGAAATAACGATTATTTCTAACCTTACTTTATATAATATTTACAAACAGAGAAATATGTCCAAGGGTAGCCTAGTGAACATGGCATCTGCTCGGTAAGCGGAACACTTTGGGTTCATTTCCCATTCCGGGACACTTTTATTTTTACGTTTATCATTACTCTTCACAATTCATCCATTCATACTTCATCCCTAAGGTTAGAAATAATCGTTATTTCTCCTTAAAATAAATTTCGATTTTTCGTTCAAAAGAAACACATGTGGGATAATTTTCAAATGTCGTTCTACAATGTGGCTCTATCCCGACAAAATTTCAAACTGAAATATCAGCGCCGTTCGGTCAATGGCAGTCTTCTTAACGGGCACCTTGAGTGTAGACCGCCGACGACAAACCTGCGTATAATGTCTCTAGCCACCCAGAAGTATGATATTTTGTCAACGCGAAACGTCATCAGTTTTAACAAGTTTAGCAAATTTCAGGCTTCTATGTCCTCTGTAAGTATATTACAAATCGATTATAATATTTGAAATCACAATTTAAAATAAGCCAATTCCCTACCACCCACCAGAAGTAAGAAACTTTGTCATCTTGCCATATCATCGGGTTTGAACAAGTATACCAAATTTCAGACTTCTAGGTGCTCGGTAAGTATATTAAAATTGGTTAGAAGATTTGTGAGCAAACAGACAGCTCATCAAGTTATATAAAAAATTTTAAAATAACAAAAATAATTTATAAATTTTGAAATATTTTTGACGCGATGTAATGAAATAATTTTCTGTTACCTTTACTGCAATGATGAAATATTGGGAGGGTCTAGCTCATCAGTGTGAACCCTCCTAGCGGTGTCTCCAGTTTATTCTACCATACCGCTGTGATTTTGTATTTTGGTGGGAGGCATCAGCACTGACGAGCCAGGCCCTCCAAATATTTTATCATTGCCGTATGATCAGTAAAAATAGTTTTATTTCAAAAAGAAACGTAAGCGTCAATATTAGTTCAAATTTCTTTTAAAAGATGGCGCTCGCTAAGGTATCACAATTAAAAAAAAAAAACTTAATATTTCGCAAGGAGTTTCTTCTTTAAATTTCAATCGGAGATTGAACGTAATTCAAGTACAATTCCATTAAAGATTGGTTATCTTATTATAACAAAACGCATAAGTACTGATAGACTACTTTCCTATAAATATTCACTATCTGCTGCTCATTAAAGAGTTTCATTTTTCCTAGCCTGTATAATACTTTTTTTCTAGAATCATAAAGGAAAGGCTTATTGTTCCCACACTCCGATAACAAGGGCATATCATTATTGTTAAACTGAACGTTATAAATATCTATTGCCAAGTATCTGAACAAATAACTGAAATTTGTTTAAAATAGCCTTGAAGGCGGAGGTTGTTGATTTCCCCCCAAATTTCCAAAGATAAGTCAAATCAATAAAATGTTTTTTAATTAACGTTTAATTGGTGTTTTTTCCTATAGATGGCATTGCCATATAGCAACGTTTATTTATATGTTCAAAAGAAATGACTTTGCTATCTTTCATCACCTGATCTCCTTTACATTTTATCACAGGTTGAATGGAAATGTGCATATTGGCCGTAAACACTATTTCACCTTTTACCTTGAAAGGTCGTAGGGTCGTATAGTTCGTTTGAAATTATAACGTTTACTGCTACCATTTGTTGAAATTTTTAAAAAAGAAATACCCTTGTCACATTTGTTGAATAAGAATTTTGAAGAATCTTTCTCATTAAGATATAAGGCACCAAAAACATTCTAACGTATAGTTTGAAGTGTGGTAATACCGTAGTCATAATTTTACCTTCTCATCTTCTTAAAGCAAAAGTGCGCACAAATTTATTCAGAAATATAAACAATTTAAAGAGAATTTAAATTGTTTTGAATTGAAAGAATTTAAAACTCTATGATGCAACGGTAAATATTCGGAAGGGCTTAGCTCATCAATGCTGAACTTTACCAGCGATTGGTGTAGTTGATTTTTAATTATTCTAGAATTGTCCAAATACTTTTTCTTTATCAATCAGGAAAAGCTAACCACATACGCTTTTCGCCCGGACGTCGAGGTAATTTCTTCCCTAGTTGACACTCCCGACAATGGCTTACATATTGGCGAACAGTCCATAAAAACTGAACCAATAGAAACGTTTCTCCACTTTGTCATACGTTCGGCCGAACCCCAAATGCCCAGCTATAGGAGCACCATGCAAATCTGCCATAACTTCCAATCTTAAGTGCTTAGGAATAATCATAAGCCAGGGGTCTTCCAGTTGTGCTATAGGTTTTCTTGTATAAGATGCCGTCGAATGCTTTATTCCTTTCTGGTGTAGCCCGAGTTTATAATAACGATTACTTCGGCTAAATCAGGATGTTTGGTCTGCTCTATATCTACTTTGGTTATTAACGTCACGCCACTTGGTTGGTCGTTCTAAAGCAGACTCCTTGACCCACAATCTGCACCCTTTATTTGCTTCCGCTCTTATAGTTAACAGTCACGTCGAATATTTCCAACTTCGGCGCCCATCTAGCCAAACAGTTAGAAAGATCCTTCTGCCCTACCAACCAACATATAGAATGATGCTCAGTGAGAACCGTTAATGGTCGACTAAACAAATATGGACGAAATTTGCTAAGAGACCAGATTACTACAAGGTATCTTTTCTGTTTTAGAATAATGACATTAGGCCTTTTTTAAACCTCTAGATCCATAGGCTATAGACCGCTCCTTTTCACCTTGTATTTGTAGGAGAACAGCTCCAATACCATTTCCGCTTGCATATGTGTGTAGATGGGTTTCAGCGGTTTCATCAAAGTGTCCATAATATGCTCTAAAGTTAAGGTTTTTTAGGACTTCAAACGCTTTCTCTTGAGGTGCATCTCAATAGAATTGTCCCTTAGTCTTCAGTAGGTCATGCAAATATCTAGCTTTGTCGGCAATGTTTTGAATATACTTTTGGTAACAGACAGTCAGAGACATTTCTTGGCCCAGAAAATATAGAGACAGCTTCAACTTATCTGGATCAGTATGAATTCCATTGGCGTCAACAAGGTGTCCTAATATTCTTCAACCTAATAGATACGAAAAGCACTTTTTGTATTTAAAACTTTGTCCAGCTTTCTGGAGGTATGGTAATACAAGTTGTAAGCGACGTAAATGTTCCTAAAAGTTCGGTACGTAGACCACGGTGTTTTTCAGATGGCAAAAATACATAGTCAATTTAAGACTATCAAGAGCATTATCATTTTTCAAACGCTGCGGGAGCATTGAAGAATCCGAAAGACATCACTCTGAATATAGGACATCTGGTGCGCATCGTCAATGTGTGGCAGTAGGTGAATATTCTTTTTGTGACTTTATTTAATTGACGGTAATTCTACACAGAACAAAATCTCCAAGTTCCATATTTCTTTCGAACTATAATAACTGGAGATGACCAAGAACTCTATAAGGGTCTCACGATGTTATTCTCAATTTTCCTCTCATCTGCATCTTGAATTAAGCGTCGCTTACTTGGTGACACTCTATAGGGCTGTTCTTTAATGGAATATTGATCTCTCGTGTTTATCTTGTGCTTCACACATTACTGGTGGGCTTAATGGGAGTACTTCCAAAGTCAAATATGTCAAAACACTAGTTATAAAGTTTTATGATCTTCTATACTGCAAATGTCGTTTCACACATGTCGCGTAGTTCCACTAATACCCTAAGTGGAAATAATTAATTAATAAAAGGTTTTAAAAGAAATATTTTATTTGAAAGTGTACTCTTCTTCTTCTTTCTTATCTCCGCTCAATCATATCAGGGTATCAAGTTGTGACCCTTGATGATGTCTGTTTGACAACCATCATGACTGGGTGAAGTAGAATGTGTCTGCCTTTATCATTAAGACTGGGAGCACTAATCAGTGGTAGGCCGACTTAGCTCCAAAAGAAATGGCCGCCTCTGACTTGAGGAACATACGCCATGTGCAGCGGCTCCTAACATGGAGTACAAACGCTGCTCACCCTGTATCTCTGGATTAGGAGCCCTTACAGGGTACTATCAGCCAGGCCAGCTGAGCCCAGGTTTTTTAGTGAGCTTGTTACTGCTCCCCCTCCTCCTTTTTCATCCGGGCTTGGGACCGGCAAAGGCAGAGTTTAAAGCGCACTGAAAAGGATTAAATAAATATTTCAGCTACCGCCATTGAATAATTTTATTTATATTAATCAAAATGAATGCAGTGAAAAACGATAATCGTATATTGATGGAAGATGTAAACTTAAAAATAAAAATTGCTATCAAATTGTTTCATATTAAATCACATTCTATCCCTAGTCTTGGCTATCGAAACAGACGGCTTATACCACACCGAACTCCATTTTATTCTTAGAACGTGTGAACATGTAGTTTATAACACTGCTTAACTTCTCCTAACTAAGTATTCTTAATAAATGACTTGGGAATAAAAGGTGAAGAATTATTTTGTTGTTTCGAATTTTATATAACATGATAGGTCATACGGATGTTATGAATAGCAATGACAATTCTTGCATGCAACTCTCAAATCTTTAATTAGACATTCACTATAAATATTATTTATTTAGGAATTTACACTCACTTGTGCCTTTTAGCATGTTTATCGTGATTCAAACAATATATCTGAGAGATATTCGATATACAATGACCTTTATTGAAAACAAACGGGATGACCAGGTGTGAACAAAATTGTCTCTTCCTTCTTAAAAAAAAAATACAGACCACCGGCGACAATAAATACTTTCAACTACCATAAGTTTTGTCTATGAGTCAAACATCAAGCCGTCCAACTCTACGTGTCTTAAAGTTTTCGAATCCCGTTAGTGGATTTTATCGTCCGAAATCTCGTTTCCTTTATTACCTTTCTTCAAAAATTCTGGATAAATGGAGAAGATTAATAAAAAAATTAACTGAGGCTGAATTGAAGTCAACGCACCGTGATTCTGTTAAGAATAAAAAAAAATAAATATACAAAAATAAAGATATAAAATAACGATAATTTGTACACAGTGAGAAGAGAAAAATAGTCGATTACCTTCAACTTTATTGTTTATTAAAAATACCGGCAATATATATATACTAGTGGAAAGAAGGAT